GATAGCTGTGTGGCTGCTTAGCTCTTCGGCTCTGAGCTGATGTAAGCCAAAGTCACCGCCTGATTGCCCACACAGGCACTGGTGCTGATGGGCAGTGCTATGCCAAGCTGAATGTGTGTCTGTGGCCTCTGTCCCGGAGGTTTCTTCCAGTTCTGTCGGCTGCACAGACCATTACTGGGGAACCGCACCGGTCCAGCCCTAGGAAGAGTGGTTAGGGTGTGCATTGGCTCTCGGGGAGTTAGGAGAGTCATAAAACCCCATCACAGGCCTCCTGTCTCCTGCCACATGAAAACAGCACAGGAAAAGTGTACAGCTTCTGGAAGGTACCACACCTGTTGCATACAAACCTGTTTCCATGAAGCTGGAGGCTTCAGAGAGTCTGCTGAAACCAAGCCCCCCAACTCAAGCTAAAGGAGCTACTTTAACAGTCAGTTGAGCAGTGCAAGGTTTTCTCAGGCTGTTTTTGTTGAATACCTGATGGTGGCAGCAGCAGAGATTACCTTCACCAACAAGTGCTACCTTCTTGCCATGTGCTTTGGAGCAGCACAGGTGCATGCACAACCCAGAGTACTGAAAATCAAACGCTTTCTAAAAGTCCACTTTTCTTTTCTTGGCTTCTTTTTGTGTGCTTCTTCATCTAAGTAGTCAAATTCAGTTTCACTTCTGAGTTTTGGAAATTTCTGTTCTAAGATTCATGTTTATAAATATCCAGAGCTTTTTATGAAGGGGAGATCCCACCTTATGAACTAGAGAGAAGTCTGGCTTCACTGGCAGGATGAGCTCAGCCATCGGCGTCTGGGGTGAAAGCCAAACGCAGCCAGAGCAAAGTCAGCTACGTCCCCAGCTTCTGGGATGAGCTCAGTGGATACTGAATCCATACTTCTGCACAAATTAGCAAACTTACTCCTGGCACTGATCCAGCTGGCATGGTCCGGTCACCTCTGTAATAGTAATCTCTCTGAGCCTTCAAAAGAGGGAGGTTGTGTGCAAACTGCCTCTCGGGGTTGGTATTAACTCTCTGCTATGCTCAGGAACTGTTTGGGGCAGCGTTAGTGCCGTCCAAAAGCATGCTAAGACCTTTCTGAGCATTTAATATCATCACCAGTTTCAGTCGCTGGTACTTTTCTGTCATGCTCCTGAATTTATTAATCCAGATGCAGCTAATGACAGATGGAAATGTGGCTCTGATAATCTTCTTGAAAACTGTAGTGCCCAGCAGAGCAGCCACAATTGTATTAGGTACTCCTATGTCCACAGAGATACTGGGTGGCTGGCTGAGCTAGTGATGATGATGGGGGTGTCCTGCACAAGAGCGCAGAGACAAACTGTTCCTGTAGCTACGGTGAGATGAGGAGGAAGAAAATGTGGGCACTAAAGCATACAGATACCCCAGTATGGGGTCCACACGGGTAGTATCCTAACTGCTTCCCACACCAACTGATTTCCTTGAATTCAAACAGACATTGCTATTGCTTTTGATTTTGAAGCTGTTCCCTTCAGGCTCAGCACCCTCTGAGAAGTTCTGTGTGTGCATTTGAGCACGCATGCCTAGGGGTGTGCAAGCAGGGTGCTGGGTCAGTGAGCTACCAGGTTCTGAGTTAAGGAACTTCACATACCCCTTGCTTCTCATTAGTGCTTCATTAAGAGAAACTTGAAGTTGTGTGAGAGACAAATTCAGTTTTGACTCTTGTTGAACCAGGGCTGCTTCGAAGTGCCAACTGGACGGGGACTCTGCTGGGAGGGTCACTGGTGGAGCTACTCTGTGTGTTTGCATATCTGTTGCCTAAAAGTTAGGGGCATTCTTGCTTAAAAACCCCTCAAAGCCTGAAAGGGGAAGCAGGTAAACTATTTGTACTTTAGAAAATATGTGAGGTACAGTGTGGGTGAGCTGTGCTGCAGCCTGCAGCTCTGGGATATGGAGAGGGAAGGAGCAGACTGCCGAACTGGCACATCCCTTCAGATCCAGGCATGCTGGCGGGGCAGCAAACAGTGCCCAGGGACAGCTGGGCCACAGCAGTTCCTTTCCCTCAGCTGTGCGAGCTGTATTGTGGCAGCAAAAAAAAGGGCTATTGCTAGGATTTCCTGAGGATGGTTGTCTCACCCGCAGATGATTATTCACAACTTCTAAGTTCATGTATTCTAAAACGATGTCCTTCCCCCCTCCCCGGAAAGTCGTATTTGTTTAAAACTCTTTGTTTAAACACTTGGCTTGCAGGTGGGGAAATATTGCTCACGCTTTGTTATGAAGGCAGCATAATTCAGCTTCTCAGACTTCTGGGCAAGAGCTTGAACTGCTGCCATTTAACAGGGGAGTTATTTTCCACTTTGCTTTTTACTGGGCATCCCTACAGTTGGAAGATGGACCTTGTCACTGCCAAAGCACACCTGGCAAAAGAGTTGTTCCCTTTTCCTCAGCTCTGTCTCTAGCACGGGCTAGAGCTGCTGCTGGACCTGGGGTT